AATAACATACATAAAAAGAAACAAAAGAAATCCCATGTGAACCTTTATAAAACTTTATATTTTCGATTCAAACTTTGACGTACGCAAATGAATAAATAAATAAATCACGAGAGAGAGCATTCGTTAAAGCCAAAAAATAATTCTTAAGTGGGTCTCATATTCTCCACTCCCCCTTTCACTCTAAACGAGCATCAACAAATTAATTATACTTTTCTATTTTTTGAATTGATCAATTATATTAAAAAGACCTGAAATTTAAAAGTTCAAATTAATTATCCTTATTTCTTGAATTATATAAATTTTCTGATTGATTTTTGAACTCTCGTTCGGTAAGAATGAACAAGCAGAAATTAATTATATTTCTTTTTCTTTTTTTGAATTTTGTAATCAATTTCTCTCCCCTTTTTCCTAAAATGAGCCCAAACAACATTACCTTTTCCTAAAATGAGCCTATAGGGCCTGTTTGGAAGTGATTTTTCCTCCAAAAAATTAATTTTTTGATTTTTATTTCACTATTTCAGTCGTTATATTTGACTTCTTTTCTCACATGTGGACCCCACTTTTCTTCCAACGGTCAAAAAATCAATTCTCAAAATCAGGCTCTATGTCATGCCGTAATCATGATATCTCAACTCCTTCTGTTAAGTCAAAATTAATTAAAATTCTTTATTTTTAAAAATTGTTTGCTACATCAATCTCTCATCTTATTTTTCCTTAAACATGGAGAATAATTATAATTTTTTATCTCTTATTTTTTGTCACATCAATATCTCAATCATGTTTTCCCATAAAATTGATAAATCGAATTTAATTGCAATTCTTTATTTCCAGATGGTTCTATATATATCTCTCTCTCTCTCAACTCGTGTCTTTAAATTAGCACAAAGAAATTAAACCTTTTTATCTTTTGAATTGCTTTGTCAAGTTGATCTCGTAACTCTCTTTTCTTCGAAGAAATTGACTACAATTCTTTATCTTTTCAATTGCTACTCATTTCTCAATTTCCATTTTTCTTTAAGCAATACGATTAACAAATATTTACAAAAATATCCCTAACATTATGCTTCGGAAAATGATTACATGTACCAAAAGTGAAAATTCAAAAATCCAAATATGGTTTGAAACTAGCAAATTTTTTTTAAAAAAAATAAACAAATAAATAAATAATTATATTTCTTTAGCATTGAATTCTTTTATCGTGAGTTACTCTAATCAAAATCTTTGCCCTTGTTCGTCATATATTAAAATTTACAAAAAATCTCAAGTCAAAATGAATATTTCATTTTAACCATAAATTTCATTGAATTCACGGTTTTTTAACTATATATTTTATTATTATTTAAAAAAAAAAACTAATTTTAGTATACACCAAACGACTTTATAATGGACTTTTAATTTTGTATTAAAGGGTGTTAAAGTCAAACTCTATCTTACTGGCACCAACCTAGCGCCCTCAAATCCAACGGCTCATTACGACCTTTGACTTTCTGTACCCAATGTCATCATCGCTACCACCGCGGTTCACCCCTTAACGGTCCCCACACTGAAGACAAAAATAAAGTTGGTCAATGCCCGTTCTCAGTCTCTCTCTTTCTTAAATCTCCACGTGGTGTAATGTCATTGGCTATATCCCTTTGATGGCAGGCAGGTCAGAAATAACCTCACATTGAAAGAAGAGAAAAAAAAAATTAAAAAGAAAAAGTGAAAGAGCATCATCATTTTGACTCTCCCCAATACAACACAGTCTCTCTCTTCTCTTTCTCTCTCTACTTTCTCTATTTTATCAGACTTCAGCCCCTCTTTCAACTTCTACTTTTTTCCCAAATCTCTTCTCCCTCTTTCTCTGTCTGAGTTGAGAATTTTTTTTTTGTATAAAGTTCGGTTTTTGAATGGTTTTCTGAAGATGGCTGTGGAGTTGATGCCAGGATATAGAACTGCCGCCGCCGGTTATACGTCAAAAATGGAAGAACACGCCGCCCAAGAAGCGGCGGCGGCTGGGCTGCAAAGCGTGGAGAAGCTAATCAGATTAATTTCTCAATCCCAAAACCAGAAAAGTTTTCAAGAATCATCGTCTTCAAAACCCATAAACACAGAATACCAAGCGGTTGCAGATGCGGCGGTGAACAAATTCAAGAAGTTTATTTCATTGCTCGACCATAACCGGACCGGCCACGCCCGGTTCCGGCGAGGCCCGGTTAGTAATAATCAGCAGAAAATCAAAACAGGATCTGATACAGAACCTGTCGGGATACTGCAGAATCAGCCCACAATTCCACAAAATGTTTGTGAGGTGAAGGAAAAAAATAGTCCGACCGGAAGAATTTATTGTCCGACGCCGATTCAGAGGCTGCCGCCGCTTCCACACCACCATCAATTGTCCAGGAACGGATCGATTGAGAGGAAAGAATCGTCGACCACCATAAATTTTGCTTCGCCTGCAAATTCATTTATGTCCTCTTTGACTGGCGACACCGAAAGCTTCCAGCCGTCGATGTCGTCGGGTTTTCAGATCACCAACCTTTCACAGGTATCATCTGCCGGTCGCCCGCCGCTCTCAACGTCGTCGTTTAAGCGGAAGTGCAGCTCGATGGACGACGCGAATGTTAAGTGTGGTGGTGCGTCGTCCGGCAGTCGTTGCCATTGTCCCAAGAAAAGGTAAAAGTCAACTCTGAGTAATGAAAGAAAAAATCAAATTAATAATTATCGTCATAATAAGATTTTTTTTTTCCAATTATAATTAAAATCTGAGCAGTTGATTTATGATTATATTTGCTTTAATTAGAAAATCAAGAGTGAAGAGAGTCGTTAAAATGCCCGCGATAAGCATGAAGATGTCTGACATTCCACCGGACGAGTACTCATGGAGAAAGTATGGTCAAAAGCCAATCAAAGGTTCCCCTCATCCTAGGTGAGTTTGTTATGTATTTATTTGATGCATTAAATTATACCTATAAATGATTACATGCATAAATATCAACATCTCTTGAAAAAATTTAATAAACAAATTTAGTTGAGAACATATTTGTCGTGTTCCATCGAAGAGAATAATCATTAAATGGTTTAATTTTACGCTCGTTTAGGTTTTAGTTAGGAGCAATTTATATATTCGAAGTAAAATAATGCACGTATAATTTTAAATCGACCCAGTAACGTGTCATGACTCGATATGGCTATGTGATGAAAATATTTAATAAAGAAATTAGTTGAGTACATATTTGTCACGTTCCATTGAAGAGAATAATCGTTAAATGATTTTATTTGACGTTCGTTTAGGTTTTAGTTATGAACAATCTATATATCCAATGTAAATAATGAACATATATATGATTTTAAATCGACCCATTACTTACATACTGAATGTTTCATGAGTCGATATGGCTAGTCGCATAAAAATATGATTATTTTTCTTATAATTTCAGGGGATATTATAAGTGTAGCAGTGTAAGAGGATGTCCGGCTCGTAAGCACGTTGAAAGGTCATTGGATGATCCTTCGATGCTAATTGTCACCTATGAAGGAGAGCATAATCACGTACAATCGAGTGCACAGACACCGGCGTCTCTAGTCCTGGAATCATCTTGATGAGATGATCTGATGGAAAGACGCTATTGGACGGCAGAGATCAACGCTGACCCACCTGCAAAGAAAAAGAGAAGAATAATGTGGATGCTGTCGTCTTTTGCAACTCCCTAGACAAATGTGTTGGGTCCAATCCATTTGTTAATTATTGTCACTGTTTGGCTGTTGAAAAACCTTTGATTCTGTGTAGAAAAAGTAATATATAGCATGAAAAAGAGATCAAATTGTGTATTTGGTGGGAATTGAATCATGCAACTATTGGGCTTTTCCCAAAACTAACTCTCTCTCTACGCACAAAGCCCCTCATTTTTTGAAATGAATAGTATTTTTTTTTAAGAATGAATAATTGAAAAAAATAAAAAATTTCGATTTACGTGTAATAATATTTTATGAAGAACTGTGTGATTGAAAATAAGAAAAGAAAATAAAATAAACCTTGATGATTACCAAACGGAGGCTAAATTAGTTGTACATAAATTTTTTTTATGAATAAATGAAATTCAAATTAAGACTCAAAATATATACCATCTCAACATCTGTCAAACGATTTTATATATATACACTTTCTTGCATATTAATCTCTAGCGGACGAATTCCCATCTAAGATGTAGTTAGCTTGTCAAAGTTTAGCCTTCGTTTGAGCTCTAATTTTTCAAAATATATTTTCAATCATACATCCTCAAATAAAAAAATTTCACATGTAAATAAAAAAATTTCTTGCTTTTTAACCAAAAATTCTCCAAAAAATTATTATTCAAAAACACCTTTTTTCCCAAAATTGGGCTTAACACAAAGGCTTAATATAAAATACGTTATACCCCTATTTGATGGAAATTAAAAATCAAAATTTTAGCATATTTCGATAAAAGTTGATGAAATTTATGATCGAAAAGTTGTGAGATCTATGAAATATGTAATTAAAATTAATTGTTGATTTTGATAAAAATCTAGATTAAAACTTCTACCGAACAAGGGCTGTACTTTTATCTATGTCGAATAAAAGTAAATAAAAAATTGTTTTCATTGGACCTTATTACTATCCTTATCTGAAACTAAAATATCGACATGGAGAAAGTTGGAAAGACTTGGGTTGGTGGCGAGAGGCATCTTGCTAGCTATAGTAGAGTCGATCAGGAAGAAGAAAGAGAAGAGGTTAGAGAAACGGGGGATGGTGAAGGTCAAGCACACCATAATACTTGCTAACGGGATTTTGAGTGTCGCCCTAGCGTTGCAGTACTGCCTTGGCTTGGTAAAATAAATAGAATCATATATTAGATATCATAGTGCTACAATCTTAAAAGGTCGCAGACTCAAATGTCAAAATGTAAAGATTAAGGACCAAATTCCAATACAACATGTAGTTTGGGAACCCCATCGTAATTTTCTTTATAAAATATTATTATCCTCATCATTGTCTTCCTCTTGTATTTGGTATCAAGTGATGCCAACTTTCACTTGTTCCATTTTCCACTAGGCAATTTTTTAAACAAGGAATTTCCATTAAAAATCTTTTAATCTAGTCTAATCTAATCATATAATTCATATTTAGTGCAAGAAGATTGATTATATTAATTAATTAGATTTGTGTTAAGTGGGGAGCATTAACCTATAAACAAATATTATAGAAAATTGTTAGTCAATTAAGAAATAATTAAGAAATTGGTCAATAGGTAATAATTTAACTGAGAACGTGTCGTTTATGGAGAAGTTGACAATTTATTTATAGAATTATTAGGAAGAAGATAAATCCATAATGGTGGGTGGGGGAGAGAGTTTGGACTTTTTAAGTGGAAATTAATTATTAAGTATGTTAGGTATATTTGGACTTTTAGAGTCAAAAATTTAATTATTAAATATGTTAATTGTTAGGTTCATTTATTGACTCACTCGTGCACTAAAATTGCATGGTGGTTTCTATTATATACACATCCATGTTTCTTGAACCTTCAATCAGGATGTCAACAATTTTGATTTTGTTAAATTGGTAATAATGTTAATTAGTTGAAATAGATATATACAGTTTAGTATAAATAATGATAAAATCTATTATATACTTATTTTTATAGAATTTACTTATTTGTATAGCTACACGTGTCCGTATCTATTATGTCGTGATCAAATTGAACCAAGAAATTTGTTTTCGTTCCAATTAAAATTGAAACTTTATTTAATAAGAATAATACTATTTGCAGTTACTTACTGTCATAGTCGCCCTACATGAATGCATGTGACGATCAATAATTTAATATATGAGGTAAGAAAAAATTATTATATTAATACATCAAATCACAAATCACCATATACGATGTCACGTAAGATGACCACTGCAGTGAGCGATTATGAATACCATTACTCATTTAATAAACATAAATAAAGACAAATCATGAATCTTTATTATA